TATGTATTAATGTCCTGGAGTGGTGGTTGTCTATATGTATTAATGTCATGGAGTGGTGGTTGTCTCTATGTATTAATGCCCTGGAGTGGTGTTTGTCTATATGTATTAATGTCCTGGAGTGGTGGTTGTCTGTATGTATTAATGCCCTGGAGTGGTGGTTGTCTATATGTATTAATGTCCTGGAGTGGCGGTTGTCTATATGTATTTAATGAACTGAAGTGGTGGTTGTCTATTTGTATTAATATCCTAGTGTGGTGGTTGTCTATATGTATTAATGTCCTGGAGTGGCGGTTGTCTATATGTATTAATGAACTGGAGTGGTGGTTGTCTATTTGTATTAATATCCTACTGTGGTGGTTGTCTATATGTATTAATGTCCTGGAGTGGTGGTTGTCTATATGTATTAATGTCCTGGAGTGGTGGTTGTCTGTATGTATTAATGCCCTGGAGTGGTGGTTGTCTAAATGTAATAATGTCCTGGAGTGGCAGTTGTCTATATGTATTAATGAACTGGAGTGGTGGTTGTCTATTTGTATTAATATCCTAGTGTGGTGGTTGTCTATATGTATTAATGTCCTGGAGTGGTGGTTGTCTGTATGTATTAATGCCCTGGAGTGGTGTTTGTCTATATGTATTAATGTCCTGGAGTGGCGGTTGTCTATATGTATTTAATGAACTGAAGTGGTGGTTGTCTATTTGTATTAATATCCTAGTGTGCTGGTTGTCTATATGTATTAATGTCCTGGAGTGGCGGTTGTCTATATGTATTAATGAACTGGAGTGGTGGTTGTCTATTTGTATTAATATCCTAGTGTGGTGGTTGTCTATATGTATTAATGTCCTGGAGTGGTGGTTGTCTATATGTATTAATGTCCTGGAGTGGTGGTTGTCTGTATGTATTAATGCCCTGGAGTGGTGGTTGTCTAAATGTAATAATGTCCTGGAGTGGCAGTTGTCTCTATGTATTAATGAACTGGAGTGGTGGTTGTCTATTTGTATTAATATCCTAGTGTGGTGGTTGTCTATATGTATTAATGCCCTGGAGTGGTGGTTGTCTATATGTATTAATGTCCTGGAGTGGCAGTTGTCTATATGTATTAATGAACTGGAGTGGTGGTTGTCTATTTGTATTAATATCCTAGTGTGGTGGTTGTCTATATGTATTAATGTCCTGGAGTGGTGGTTGTCTGTATGTATTAATGCCCTGGAGTGGTGGTTGTCTATATGTATTAATGTCCTGGAGTGGCAGTTGTCTATATGTATTAATGAACTGGAGTGGTGGTTGTCTATTTGTATTAATATCCTAGTGTGGTGGTTGTCTATATGTATTAATGTCCTGGAGTGGTGGTTGTCTATATGTATTAATGTCCTGGAGTGGTGGTTGTCTATATGTATTAATGCCCTGGAGTGATGGTTGTCTATATGTATTAATGTCCTGGAGTGGTGGCTGTCCTAATGTATTAATGCCCTGGAGTGGTGGTTGTCTATATGTATTAATGTCCTGGAGTGGTGGTTGTCTGTATGTATTAATGCCCTGGAGTGGTGGTTGTCTATATGTATTAATGTCCTGGAGTGGCAGTTGTCTATATGTATTAATGAACTGGAGTGGTGGTTGTCTATTTGTATTAATATCCTAGTGTGGTGGTTGTCTATATGTATTAATGTCCTGGAGTGGTGGTTGTCTGTATGTATTAATGCCCTGGAGTGGTGGTTGTCTATATGTATTAATGTCCTGGAGTGGCAGTTGTCTATATGTATTAATGAACTGGAGTGGTGGTTGTCTATTTGTATTAATATCCTAGTGTGGTGGTTGTCTATATGTATTAATGCCCTGGAGTGGTGGTTGTCTATACGTATTAATAAAAACTACAACCCAAAGCCTGGGGGAAGGTAAATTCCATAAGATGTCTCCATAAAAATGTTAACACAGTGATGATCTGTACCTTAAAAGAAGAACTGCATATCACAGTTTAAGTTTCACAAATACTGATATATCGATGAGAAAGAAAATATAGCAGGTCATGCGTGGACAGAATACAGTCATTTAACAGGAAAAGAAAAAATAGGAAAATCTTAAATCTTTGTAGTAACTATATTCTTCTTCTTCTTCTCTTCCATCTTGTACCTCAACAAAGTGTTGGGGGAGATGTAGCATTCACTGATGAGCTCTTTCAAGAGCACTATAAAGATTGATGTTCATTTCTGTAAGGCTGTTCCTAATGCCATCACTCCGTCTCTATATACAGCTTTAAAACAAATAATGGCAAAAATGTGTTGGTAGATTTTAGTGTAAGAATGCATGTTCATTTTTACATTTTGTATTTTCTTCTTCCCAGTGTTCACTCGGTGTACACTCCTATGGAAAGTTATGTTTGTTCATCCACTTTTGCACTTTAATCTTGTTCCAGAATTTGAGTTTTGCAAGCAAATCTGTTTTACAGATCTGGCTTATATATATATGCAGACTGTTGGTCCCTCTCCTCTCAGGCTGATTAACTTTGACTTCAAATGAAATACCACTAATTAGTTGCCTTTTATGACATGCATATTAGAGAGGCAATGGGTGTATTAATTCTTCCTCGGAAACCAAGATGGGGATATTCTATTTTAAAAGAGGACTTTTAATTTATGTGACGATAATAGCTATTTAAAAAACAACAATCATACAAAACTTTATCTTTAAAAAAAAGGCTAACAATTTATTCCTTCAGGAGTGCCTTATATTCTTTCATTTAATGAATTCAAATCTGGTTTTACAGACAGGCTAGGTTTTTCAGCGAATTTATTCAGTTAAAAAATCAGCTCAATTCATATCTAGCCTAGAGTGAATCAAGAACATGCAGAAGTTTGAGTGAATAATGAATACCCGCACAGGAAACTTCCAGCAGAAAGGTCAATGTAATAAAACTGAAATCACAATGACACAAATAATCTGAGCATGGGCATCAACAGTGTCTCTCTCTCTCTCTCTCTCTTTCTCTCTCTCTCTCGATTCCTCCCTTTTTCTTCCTCCCTCACTCTTTCCTCCCTCCTTCCCGTTTTTCTCTGTCTGTCTGTCTGTGTGTGTGTGTGTATGTGTGTGTATGTGTGTGTGCCTTGGGCTACGTGTGTGTGTCTGTGTGGATTTATGTCTGGTGCGTCGGTGTGTGTGTTTGTTGGTGTCTTTTTGTGCGGCTATGTGTATGTGTGTGTGTGTGTGTGTGTGTGTGTGTCTGTATAGCTGTTTGTATGTGTGTGTGTCTTAGAGTGTGCGTTTGTAAGAGTGTGTGTATGTGGGTGTCTGTGTGTATGAATGTGTATGTGTGTATGTATGCATGTATGTATGTGTGTGCATGTATGTACAAATTTACATATATGTGTGTGTGTTTGTATGTATGTGAATGTGTATGTATGTGTGTTTTGGGTGCCTATGTATGTGTGTAAGTGAGTGAATGGGTTTGCGTGTGTATGTGGGTGTATGTATGTATGAATTTATGTATGTGTGTGTGCATGTTTGTATGTATGTGAATGTGTATGTATGTGTGTTTTGGGTGCCTATTTATGTGTGTGAGTGAATTGGTTTGCGTGTGTATGTGGGTGTGTGTGTTTGCACGCCAGCGTGCACATGCATTTTACCACCCATGCTGTTGTTTTTGACTTCATATTCATAATATGCATATTATTATATGAACATAACATGCTTTATTGATAAAATACAACTGCTGTGTGAAAAATGGGAGTTTGGAAGGGCCAAGTGTACGACAGGTCTGCCTGCTTAATTTGTGACCCTTTGAAAATTAAGTTTCATTCGTTCATTCATTCTCTCTCTCTCTCCAACAATCCTGTATATGTTCACAACCATTATATGGCTTCAACTAATAATGGTCTTCAAAACAATGTTTTCCTGTACTGAATTTAAATAATTTGAACACAAACATTACACTGAACCATTTATTAACAGCAATTCATAGTTCACCTAATCTCGAGTTTCCAGCAATGAGATGAACAATGTATCGAGAGAGACAGTGTGATGCAAATTTCAGTGGAATTAGTTTCTTCTTCTTCTTCTTCGCGTTCACCAGCTGTAAACTCTGGTGGAAAGTTCTGGTTGTTCATTCACTTCTGGAATGCAGTCTTGTTCTAGAACCTGAGTGTTGCGTATGGATCCGTTTGAAAGATCTGACTCATTTGTATGCAGACTGCTGGTTCCTTTCCTCTCTGACTTTGAAGGAAGCTCCCAATTAGTTGACTCTTATGACATGCTTTTGGGTAGATAGTGGGTCTATTCTTGTTTTCCCTATTAACAGGGCCCCAGAACCCACACGGAGAGAATTAGTTTCAGTTTCTGAGATTCATTACATAATGTTTCAACTCTATAGTAATATGTCTGATGAGGTACAGCAAAATATGCCAGGAATTTTTGTAAGAGACCACTAGGTTTTAACCCTTGATCCCGCATGCCCAGAAATCTGGCATCGCCGTCCATTACAGACCCTTATAAAAGCCTCTAAACCAACATTGCTGCACTGGAAAGGTCACAGGTAGTGAGCATACTTTGGATCTTTTCTCCAGGCAATGCTGGCATGGTGGGTAATGAACAGGCAGACAGATTGGCTGGATCTGCACCACTGGGTGGTGAATTGATATATGACAAGGCAGATGTGGTCAAGGCCCTTTGGAAACAAGCATTTGTTCTTTTTGTACCGGTATGGTGTTTAGCCAGATATGTAAATTTGCTAACAACATTAATAGGTGTGAAAAGGGGAGATTGGGGGGAGTGGGTGCATAATTGGGGAAAACATGGCATTTTTGGGCCATTTAACAAGCCATAATTTTCTTTAGTCTGGTGTGGTTTTTTTTTTTTTTTTTTTAAAGAATTTTTTCTGCGATTTCCAATTTCTGGTCCCCCCTTATTTTTTATTTTTTTTATTTTAACAAACGCCTGGCAGAGCAAAACGGTTCTGAAGCATGACTGATGATGATGATGAGTATGACCTTGAGACATTGTTCAGACGTCTTACCATGGGAAAGGACATCTTGCGTGTAATTTCTGTGTAGTTGGCATTGCGTTCATTGACCTCCTTCTGACCTGCGGCTAAGTGTGCACAGACAAAACAGATGGATGTGCTGTTGAGAACAAAGCGGATGGCTACCCCGCCTTTGTTACCTGTGGCGCCACCTAATCCGGTCTTTACTTTATCCACTGCAACATCTCTGTTTTTAAAAAAGGAACCATTTACAACTAAATGCAAGGTCAAAGAAAAAAAATCAGACTTAAAAAAATAAAAAAAACTTGTATTAAAGAAGTAAAGAGCAACATTTAAGAAACAAGAACAAAAAAGATAAGGAGGATATGAGGTGAGCTGCATGTGAAAGACAAGGATAGAATGACTTGGTGGGAGTTGGCTGAGGTCCTATTTGTATGCTGCACTGAGTTGGTCGATGGCCTATTTATACGCTGTACTGAGTTGGCCAAGGGCCTATTTGTATGCTGTACGTCAAGGGCCTATTTTAATGCTATACTGAGTTGGTTGAGGGCTTATGTATATGCTGTACTGAGTTGGTTGAGGGCTTATGTATATGCTGTACTGAGTTGGTTGAGGGCTTATGTATATGCTGTACTGAGTTGGTCGAGGGCCTATGTGTATGCTGTACTAAGTAAAGTTTTAGACTAACCTAGTACATACACTCTGATATGGGTGACATTTGCAGCTCTGGTCATGTCTAGATGGTATTAAATCTCTGCCACATCTTCTGAATCGTGCCTACAGTTATGGTTGCAATGGCTGCAGTCACCCTCTATTAAACATTTTGGATGTTCCTTGTCATCTAAACACCATTTTGAGCCTCACCATCACATAAAACTGTAGACCTCACTCAACATTTTAAGCCTCACCGTCACATAAAACTGTAGACCTCACTCAACATTTTAAGCCTCACCGTCACATAAAACTGTAGACCTGTCTCAATATTTTAAGCCTCACTGTCACACAAAACTGTAGACCTCTCTCAACATTTTAAGCCTCACTGTCACACAAAACTGTAGACCTCTCTCAACATTTTAAGCCTCACTGTCACACAAAACTGTAGACCTCTCTCAACATTTTAAGATCCCACACATGTTTGGTGTATATCCATTTAATACGTCTTTTAAAATAACAGACGAAAATCCCAGCAATCAATCTCAATGAGTGCGTACCACAGACGGTGACGTCTAACTTACCGTATAAAAGGAGCGAGCTGTGGGCGAACAAAGACGTACAGGACCACTCCCACTAACTGGATGCTGCTGATGATGACGTACTTATGGTCTCTGGTGATGGTTTTCATCACTTCCTTCTGCCATTCTCTGGCAGTGGTTGTGCTTAAAAACAAATCAAAATACACAAACATCCAATTATTAAAGCAGTACTTCACAGGATAATGAGTCATCTATATGTTATACATTTGTCAAGCGTGGGGAGAGCGATTTCTTAACCCAGTCATCCCAAATATGCTGGCTTTTCTGCATTTACAGGTTTCTGATGGTAGAGTAGACAGAAACAGACTATGGGTTATTCTTGAGCATTATAGGATAAAAGGACAATTGCTAGATAACATCATGGCTATGTACCACACCTCATAAGAAGGCATATCTGATATGTTTACAATCAACACAGGGGTGAGGCAATGGTGTGTGCTCTCTCTTTAAAGTGTTTATTGTTTTCTCTGTTTATATTTAGTGATTACTTAACTAAGAGTTTACTTAAACTCAAGAGCATGTTGAGAAAGGTGAAAACAGGCATGCTTCATGCAGAGTGGCAAGCATCACTTCAGAGGTCCTGGGTAGTTCGCATTCTTTGGATATTTTCACCAGGTTATGTTGGTTAGTTGGGAAATGAGCAGGCAGATACACTGGCTGACACTGCAGCACTTGGTGGTGAACTGATGTATGACAAGTTAGATATTGTGAGGGCAGTTTGGGAGCGACTAAACAGTGCGGAGGCGCAGATAAATCATTACAGTCTGAGGAGAATAGCGCTGTAAGGAGTTACCAGGGGATCTGGCCGAGGCTCAACACTCAGGGGAAGGATGAGACGAATTTACAATCAGACTGTTACTGGTACCATCAGAATTGGAATTCTTCGCTTGCTGCTGAAGATGGGGTCTGAATACTTATGGGAGTGTCCAGAGTGCTGTGATGTCAATTATTAATTCAACATTCAACAGAGTTTTAAAATATCTTTGCGTCAGAAAGTTAACAGAGAATAGGTAGTACTGACTACTTTTATACACTACCTCAGTCATATCTGACCTAGTTAACAGAGAACAGTTAGTACCAACTACTTTTATACAGTACCTCAGTCATATCTGACCAAGTTAACAGAGAACAGTTAGTACCAACTACTTTTATACAGTACCTCAGTCAATTCTGACCAAGTTAACAGAGAACAGTTAGTACCGACTACTTTTATACAGTACCTCAGTCATATCTGACCAAGTTAACAGAGAACAGTTAGTACCAACTACTTTTATACAGTACCTCAGTCAATTCTGACCAAGTTAACAGAGAACAGTTAGTACCGACTACTTTTATACAGTAAATCAGTCATATCTGACCAAGTTAACAGAGAACAGTTAGTACCGACTACATTTATACAGTACCTCAGTCATATCTGACCAAGTTAACAGAGAACAGTTAGTACCGACTACTTTTATACAGTACCTCAGTCATATCTGACCAAGTTAACAGAGAACAGTTAGTACCGACTACATTTATACAGTACCTCAGTCATATCTGACCAAGTTAACAGAGAACAGTTAGTACCGACTACTTTTATACAGTACCTCAGTCATATCTGACCAAGTTAACAGAGAACAGTTAGTACCGACTACTTTTATACAGTACCTCAGTCATATCTGACCAAGTTAACAGAGAACAGTTAGTACCGACTACTTTTATACAGTACCTCAGTCATATCTGACCAAGTTAACAGAGAACAGTTAGTACCGACTACTTTTATACAGTAAATCAGTCATATCTGACCAAGTTTACAGAGAACAATTGGTACAGACTTTCTTATATAGTACCTCAGTCATATCTGACTAAGTTAACAGAGAAAAGTTAGTACTGACTACTTTTATACAGTACCTCAGTCACATCTGACCAAGTTAACAGAGAACAGTTAGTACTAACTATTACACAGCACCTCCGTCAAATCTGACCAAGTTAACAAAGAACAGGTAGTACCGACTACTTTTATACAGCAAATCAGTCATATCTGACCAAGTTAACAGAGAAAGGGTAGTACTAACTACTTTTATTCAGTACCTCATATCTGCTGAGAAGCACACAAGACACAAGGATGTTACACAATACAATGACCACAGCACTAACTGCAATAAAAATTTCCTCTGATCACCATAGAGAGACCAAGCCATTGAGATCAAATCCAGTACAATGAAGCTAATCCTCTAAACTAAACTTCAGTCAAATCAGACTATGACCAACATCAAAATAAACTATCCCCATTCTTTTTCGCCCACTTAAAAACCGGAAAAACTAGATTACGTTTCTGGCAACAGAAACACTGAAAGGGAAGTGAGGTGAAGAAGACCAAACGAGACGATGCTGGATAGTTTTGAATCATGGCATGGAAAAACCTCAGAAAAATAGGCAGTACACAAAACATAAAGATGTTAAATACCATAGAATTCAAGAACCCCCAGCGGTCAATTCAGCCTGTATTTACCACTTCTGCAATGTGAACCGGGGTCTGGGGTTTAGCCTGAGGATTTAGGATCACATGGCTGCTGCTGTCACCATGGACTGTGCAGGTTAGGATTTTATTTTCACATCCAACATTAAAAACAAAATTCACGACCTTACAGAGAATTTGACCTTGGGTCTCCCATAGGAGACTAACTAACTGCGACAAATACTTTCTCTTCGTTTCTTCCTTTTTTTAAGGGTGCTAGAGGTTCCGGGTTCAATCCCCAGTAAGGGATGGGATTTTTTCACCTGGACTTGGAATTCTAGTAATTCCCCCTGATCTCTGGGTAGTGAGATCGGACACCCATGTGCATTGTTGTGCACGTAAAAAATCACTTGGCAGTTGGAAATCGAAAAAAGTAGATTAACGACGCTGCCCAGACAAAATGTTGAGTTAAAAATCTACCCAAAGTACTTCAGGATCCTTGCCAGACTTGAGTTAGAAGAAGAATGCAGCACTTATGGGTAAATAACCAAGTGCCATGATGTTGATCCGTTGTTCAAACTTAACTACAAACTTCTTCCTTGTATCTCCCAAAACAGCACAGGCTCTCAACCAGCTCACACAATTCTTTCTGGCGATTTGTTTTATGCTTAGTTGGATTGTAAAGCTAGTTTTCTACTTCCTGCCATCATAGGACATGATTCAGAAGACGTGGCAAGAGATTTAATACAGTTTACACATCACCATATCCAAGTGTACTAATGCAATGTGCTCTGCTAGGGGTTTGTTTCTACACGCCACATTGCTGTATTGACGAACACTTAGTTGCTATGACACACCAGAAACAAATGTTCAGTTATAGACCTTTATTTGCTGAATCAAACATCTCACTGACAGCGCATTCTTTCGTCCTCGTGGTCACTATGCATGGCTGATTTCTCATGACCTGGCCAACTCATTCGCACACTGCTTTCCTCCGATCGTATCTCTCGAATCACACATCCATTTCATACTAAAGCCTTGTACCTGGTATTAGTACATGTTGAAACTGGCAATCAGGAAACATTCATGTCTTCTCTCAAACAATTATACGTCGTCACTAATTCTCCATTCTAATCAGGTGTTCTCTCACACACGACCTCTCGCAACTAGGTGACATACCACCAAAAGAAAAGAATCATTAAATCTATCAGGAAACCACCAGCCCCAGCACAAGACGACTATTTTATTATGGACAGACCAGAACAAGTCATTATCTTCCGCCTCAGAACAGGGCACAACCGATTACGTAACCACATGTACACAAAATTCAATATAGGTGTATCAGCCACGTGCACCTGTGGAAATGTGCCCCAGACCGCAGAGCATGTACTCCAGGACTGCACCGATTTTGACACATTAAGGCAAACCTTTTGGCCAGAAAGAACAACAGTGGAACGTAAACTCTATGGACCACTGAATGAACTAACAACGACAGTGAAATTTATACAAGAGACAAAACTGCTGATATAGAAAACTTATTTCAGGCGAATGAAAGAAGAAGAAGAAGCACTAGGTCCCAACTTCAACTGTCTTACTACTGTTTCTCTGTTCACATCTTCCATTCCAGTCTCACGCTTTTCTTGTATCCCTTATTCGCTCACCATGGGATACTCGAGACCCACGTATCTCGTTTTTCTCTTGTATCACTGATCTTCTGACCTTGTCCTTCCCATCAGGAACTCTCTGGGATTTCCCTGGGAATTCCCAACATTACAACTAAGGTAATGTCTAAAACTGTAAACTTTTCTGAACATTTCAAGATGCCATACGTGCACATTCATTAAAAACTTCTTTTATAACAACAGTTTAAAATCTTTGCAATCATTATTGGTGAACCGTTGTTGTTTTTTTTTGTCCTTGTGGTGACAAGGCAGTACACTGGCCTAATTCAGTGGGTGTCTTGAGATCAGAAGCCATGTTAGATTGGATATGAAATATACTGGACTAATAAATCAAAACAGTAAGAATAAATAAGGACTCTCTTCATTTCTTTGGTGCATCAGTGGCATATAGCGGAAGACCTATTTCTTCACCATGGCAAACCTGGAGAGAACGGTGATGGAGGGTGCAGTTTCCAGAAAATGAGGCAGAGGCAGACCTCCACAAATGTGGATTCAAGACACTGAAGATGCACAGGCCATGAAAGCTTAGAGAGATGGAAAACTGGTTAGAGAAATAAAAAAACACATTTTTTAGGCACGTCATCCATGACAACACTGGCCTTCTGTCCAGGACCTATTGATTAGTGATGAATCAGCAGTGAGGGTGGGTGAGGTAATCTGCCATTACTTCCTAGGACATTACCTGGTACCTATTTTGGATTGGGTCAAGCTTGGTACCCAAGTTCATTTTTGACCAAAAAAGCCACCTTAATGCTATTCTGAACCCTGGACTTTCAGGCCAGCAGGCAAACATCTACCTTCTATGCCACCGTAGCTCCCAAGTCTGTGAATTTAACTAAGCCAAAGTGACTGTGGCTCCCCACCTGTGAAATTTACTCTGTGACTCCCCAATCCATGGATGTAATTGAGCCAAAGTGACTGTAGCTCCCCATTTGTGAATATAACTGAGCCAAAATGACCATGGCTTCCAATCTATGAATATAACTGAGCTAAAGTGACTGTGG